AAGGAGGGGGCGGGGGGGAGGGAGGAAATTCACATTTATAGCAGGGGAATAATTTGTCCCAGGAAAGCCACACACCTATTTGTGACCCCAGACATCCAGGAACGAAGATCTGGCAGGAAATCTGAGCATCCATGGTATAGTGACTAAGCCAAGGTCTGGAGTTTTTATGGCCTTGGCTAGGCCACTAGGCTATGCTGAGATTGCCATGGGGCTTCCCTGAGCCAAGCTGGTTCCCAAGGAAACGGACCAGGACAGGGAATCATAGCAGGAGTTAGGGCGGCGATGGAGTGGGTGGGAGGGCGCAGGTGGCTGAGGTCGCCGGAACATAGACGCGTGGGGAAAGGCTGTCTCCTGCGAGTGCTGGACTCTGAGGCCAGTCGGCTTTTGGAGGGCCCCCCTCCGTACTCTCGGGGGCTGCTGAGAGTGTCTTGCGCATAGGAAAGCCTTCCGTGTGAGCTTCCTGCCGGGGAACTTGCTCTGTCCTCCTGCCTTCTTCCCGTTATCGTTTCCAGAGGCTGAGCCCGCCTCTCAGGGGAAGCCCTGCTTCATTGCCCTGGCGATGCATTATCCGAGAGAGCCAGCTGCTCTCTGACTCTCGGTGTCCTCAGGAAAGCCGGGCCTGATGGGAACATGGGCCGGCACGCGAGGGCCTCTGGAAAGGATCCCCACTTCCTCCCCATTCCTTGAGGTCTAATCTCATTACCTTTGGACTCAGTATGACTTGTTTCCTTAAGGCCTGCACAGCTGAGCACATCTCTAGATCATCTCCTCGGAAACCCAATTTCTTCTACAGTCGAAAAGGACAGTGTCTGATATGAAGTCCCCAAAATGAAAAAGGAAGCGAGAGGCAGAGCCCTTCCTCTGAGACCGATGCAATCGTTTTAATAATGTTCCCGTTGTGCTAAGGGCTAGCAGTACCGAGCATAATCTATTCAAATGCACAGGAGAACCTCACTTTGGAAAATTAGGAATCTGCATTAAAAAATTCCCAAGCCCCGGACCTTCTTTATAATAAATTAGAAATTTTTTTTCAAGGCAAGTTCTTAACTTGGCAATTTCATTTTTGAAGTTTGGGGAATAAAGTTATTAAAACTGAGAAGGCTTTTTTTTCTCTCTCCCCATTTTAGTAGAGAAGCATTCACAGTTCTGGCCCCATGCTGTGTGGGGCGCACCAAGCGCCATGATGGCCATTCAGCCTCAGGTCCCTCAGTCCTTTTCAGTCCAACGTGGGGAAACTCGTGATTACTTGTGAGATGTTACTCTGTGTTTACTGTGCACTACAGACAGACTGTAAGCTTAGAAAGTACAAAAGCAGCGGCCACTGGAAACCTTGTGGCCTGTTTCCTCCTTCTGGTGGCTTCCTGTTGGGTTCTGCCAGAGTCACAGCCCCTGCTGCTATCTAACGACAGCACCTCAAGTCCAGCCAGCTGTAGCTGGGCCCTTGATCCAGACAGACCCTCAGGTATGCCTTGAGAGGCAGGGATGAGTCACCTGGGGTCATGAACTTGTACAGCGATTGTCTCACGAAAACTTTGTCTGCAGGGAGACGTGCATGTGAACTAGGTGCGTGGTCCCCCCATTCAATATGTCATGTGAATTTCTACATCACCCCACTTCTGTTCTTCTGCATCTCTGCCAGTCTGGTCACCTGCCACCTGCACTCTCACAGCCCTCCCCCCACAGCCCAGCACCCCACTGATTCTAACAGAACTCTCAAAGTTACTGCATCTCTACCATTGCCCCCCTCCCAGAACCTTCGTGGTAACATAGAGGCCCTCTCACTCCTTCTAGGCATACACCCTTAATCCATGTACTCTCTCTCTCCACCTCTGAAATGTCCTTCAAGTCCTCCCAGTTCCTGTAATATTCCACATGCAGCATCACCCACCAAGCAAAGTTCTCCCTTTGGTACCTCCACTAGCAATTTCAGGAACCCTCCAGATTTACTAGCTTCTCCACCCTCACCACATTCACACACAAAAGCCTCCTGCTATCTGCACCCCACCCCTACTCTTCCT